CCTGTTCGACATGCCGCCCGCGCTGCTGGGCGAGTTCTGCGCTGTGCTGGACAGCTGCGACGGCGCGCTCGGCTGGCGCGGCCTCGGTGAGTGTGGCCCGGGCGGCGGGGCCCGTGAGGGGCGGCGGGGCAGCGGCGCCCACGCTCCGTCCGACGTGCGGCCCGCAAGGTCCAGGACTGCGCGGCCTCCGGGGGTCCTTGCTGCGAACCCGCGCTTTCCTCGCTCGCACTGGGAGCGACTCCCCAGACCCACCCCCGAGCTCCCCCTTCGTCACTGAAACTTGTGGTAAGAGTTAAGTGACCGGAGCCTTGGGGAAACCAGCTCCCCCAGTGAAACCATCTAATGTTTCTCCACGATTCCTGCCTTGTTTGGTTCGGAATATTTTCAATAAGAAACGCCTGTGGGATGTCTTCCTGTCCTTTCAAAATGACCCCCAGAATATAATTTTCGTATGAAGACATGTTTATACCTTTAAAATATTTATCCTGTGGTGTTTTCAATGCACTTCCCTTAATTACACTTCAGGTGAAATGCTAAAGTAAAACATTATTTGTAATTAACGTGGCTCCCAGTTTGCTTAATTAAATACATCTTGCTTATTTACCCAGTCTGGTGGAATGAAGTTTTAGGCTAGAGAGTGGCTTTTTAATTTAGTCTAGCAAGTTGGCTCCAAGACTTCATTTTCTGCAGGCTTTGGAAAGTTGAGCAACGGCCTGTTGGAAGTGTTGAGTGTGATCAGAAATAATTCAGGCAAAAATCTGTAAGTACGTGCGTTCATGGTTAGATTTGATACCCCATGATGTCGCAATTAATGTTAGTTGAAAATAAACACAAATATGTCAAAGCAGCTTAGCCTTAATTCTCTGAAATAGCTATTATTCTTACCAAAAATAGCAGAAGACCAAGGAGGAAGAAAGTTTAATTTGTTGTTGATGAACAGTATGGTCACACTTTATGGAATGTGGCATTGGGTTTCTAGTTGTATAAAGATTGTTCATTATAGGCTCTGTAATTTTATATTGTAGCCCTTCAGTAAAAATCAGAAAACTCTGATTTCTGGAAACCATCGACATTTCTAGTATGCATTTGAGACATATCCCTCCCACACTAGATCTTTTTGAAATGGATGATGGCATGGCAGTTTTTGCACCCCATGGTTTCCTAGAGGTACTGAATTTGTAAGTGAAAAATGTTTTAGTCCAGTCCATGGTTAGTGAATGGACTGAGTAGATATCATAAATGTGTGAAGTAGGTTGGTGTAGACTGTGAAAATATAAGAACATGTGTCTCATCTGAAACAGTGAGTACTCAGCCCCAGGTCACTGCTCCTGTTCAGGAAGTTCAGCTCAGTGTTGCTGAATCTTTTTCTCTCCCACCCCCCTCCCTCCTTCCCTCCCTCCCTCCCCCCTTACTCAGCATTGAAATTCAGATATTCATTCGTTACCTGTGTTGTTTCATAAACCCTTCCAATGCCCCTGTCAGGCAGGCACTATTATCATCATCAGTGTTTGAACAGGTGAGAAAACTGTGGTGTACATTGGTTTAGTAACTGGCCCAAGTCAACAGCTGGGAAGTGCAAAGGGAGGACTTGAAGCACATTATACAGGAAGGATGAAGCATGTGAAGACTCTTTGGACTATATTCTAAATTTTTCTGTATATTTAAATCTGTTCTGGGACTTCCCTGGTGGTGCAGTGGATAAGAATCCGCCTGCCAATGCGGGGAACACGGGTTCAAGCCCTGGTCCAGGAAGATCCCACACGCCACGGAGCAACTAAGCCCGTGCGCCACAACTACTGAGCCTGCGCTCTAGAGCCCGAGAGCCACAACTACTGAGCCCATGTGCCACAACTACTGAAGCCCGCGCACCTAGAGCCCGTGCTCTGCAACAAGAGAAGCCACCGAAATGAGAAGCCCATGTACCACAACGAAGAGTAGCCCCCTCTCGCCGCAACAAGAGAAAGCCTGCGTGCAGCAATGAAGACCCAATGCAGCCAAAAAAATAAAATTAAATCTTAAAAAAAAAAACCTGTTCTAAACAATAAAGTCTATTTAAAATTAAAACAAAAAACACATAGACTCTGGAGTCTGTCTACATTTCCCTCTATGACTTCCTCAGGGTCACAAGTACTGCTGTGTTCTTTCAGCTGCATCTCACAGACTCCCTAAAGTACAGCCACTTCTGCCATGAAAGAACCATTCAGTGAACCATTTCAAACATGCAGCCCCATTTTCCTAGTAGTGGAAATAAATGAAGACCACCGAAATGAGAACAAGCAAAGGCTTGTCAGGAGTCAGCTCCCATGGCTTGCATTTGACTGAGATGCAAAGGCAAGCAGAGGATTGGAAAAGCTTTATAGCTGAAAAAGAAGTTTCAGGTATGCCCTGATTGGAGGCTGTTGGCATGGGGAAGATGTATGCAGGCCAACTAGGAGTGGGGAATTCTGTTTAATTCAGGGTACATATTTGGCTTTCTCCAGTTGGCCCTACATTTGAATTGGGGCAAAAATTAGGAAAGCTATCAGCTATTAATGAAGCCTTGGTCATTTTGGGCCAATTGCTATAAGAGTTATTGTTTGGCTTTCTGGACTAGTTGCTACAGATAGTAGTTTGACTTCCCAGACTGGTTACTCTAGATAGAACATTGGCTTCCTGGGCTGGTTGATGCATGTTGTGGGTTACAGTTCTGTTTGTATATCTATCTGGCCATTGTTCCTTTGTATATTTGTTCTCTTATAGGGGAAGAATCTAAACTGTTTACTCCTTTATACTCCAGCTATAATTCATTGTGTAGGGGGTTGTGCCCCTGCTGTCTGGACCAGAGCTCTAGAAGGAGACCTGGAACGGACCAGCTGCTTCATGAATTGTTGGCTCAGCAGAAAGGGAAGGCTGGCTCCATTCCGGGTGGTTGAGGGCAACTGCCTGTGGTTAAATAGGCTGAGTTTCTCCATTGGCACAGTGAAAGGAAAAAGCGGGGAAAGAGGTGCTGGGAGGGAAAACTTGACCTTAGAGGGCGGAAGGGGGAATATTGGAGGACTGAATCAAGAAGACAGTTTCTTTTATGCTCAGGACAGCTGAAAGCCTGAGGATACAGAGGGTCCAAAATTCGATATAGAAAGCAACTGTCAAAGTAATGGGCAAGAGAAGAGAAAAGCGGTAGAAAAGATTAACCAAACTAAGTGTTGGTTCTCAAGCTTATCATGATTCTTGATGATGGTGAATAACAAGCTATGTTTACAAAGGCAGTTCAGAGAAAGGCAGATCATATGGTGGCCTATATGGTATAATCAGTGTATACAGGATGAGGTAGACAGGATGTTAACCAACAGGAATCACCTGTGCAGTCTTTAAAAGCTACAAATGCCCAGGCCCCACCCCTGGAGCTGTTTATTCAGTAGGTCTGGGTCAAGGGTCCAGCATCTTTCTGTTTTTTTGCCAAGCCCCACGGTTGAATCTGATGCACAGCGTGGTTTGGGAGCCATTTGCTTAGGCCAAATTCTCTTCTTTCATAACATCTTATTGTAACAGTTACTTTACTGTAGTGACTGTACTTAATTCTATCCTTAAACACATTCTACATATTAATCATTAAATCACTTATATTTTATTGTTATTGAACATGGTATAATCACAAGGTAATGTATTCTCTGGTTGATGTTGATGATTTTATGGCTTTATAATGAAAGTAGGACCACTGTAGAAAATGCCATTGTCTTATACTACCTCAAAGACATAACATATATGCAGAGCCTCTGGTGACAACTGATTTCATTACATTACCTTGAACTACTGTTTAAATTGTTTGTAGCAGCTCACACTGTAAAACCTCTCAACACTTCAATGAGGGAGGAACCCTGCTTACAGATACTATGTAATAGGTTGTATTCAGTTTTCTTCCTCTCAAAAAGGGAAAGAAAATTATCATAGAAATTATTATTAATCACTTTAAAACAAATTAAATGTAAAATCACATTACATATGCATTTGAATATTTAGTAAAGATTTAAAACAATAATAATACTAATAATTGCCACCATCTTTTGAGTGCATACTATTTGCCAGACACTCTGTGCTAAGCACTTTACATGGATTATCTCATTATTTATCACAAAAACTCTGAGACAGGTACTCTTCCTATTTCCATTTTATAGATAGGAAAAACTGACTCTCAGAGAATTTAGGTAACCTACCTCAAATCAGTCTAGTATGTTGCAGACTAGGATTCTAACCAGATTGTCAGACTCGAGTCTATGTTGTTGTCTTTCTTTAGTTTTAAATAGACTTTATTGCTTAGAACAGTTTTAAATTGATAGAAAAATTTAGAAGATAGTAACAGTACAAAGAGTCCTTATATATTCTGTCCTTCCCATATACTCTGTACCCAGTTTCCCATTATTAACACTTTACATTAGTATGGTACATTTGTTACAATATTGATACATTATTATTAAATACAGTTCATACTTTATTCAGATTTCCTTCATTTTTACCTCAAGTCCCTTTTGTCTTCCAGGATCCCATCTAGGATATCACATTTCACACATTTCATTTAGTTATCATGTATCCTTTGGCTGCTTTTGACTGTGATAATTTCTCAGACTTTTCTAGTTTTTGATGACCTTTATAGTTTTGAGGAGTACTGGTCACTACTGATCAGTGCTGATCTACTGTTTTATAGAATGACCCTCAGTTGAGATTTGTCTGATCTTTTTCTCATGACTAGACTGAGGTTGTGGATTTGGGGAAGGCAGACCACAAAAGGTAGAGTGCCATTTTCGTTACATCCTATCAGGGGAACACACTGTTTACATGACTAATTGCTGTTGACGTTAACCATGGCTGGAGTAGTGTCTGTCAGGTTTCCACGCTGTAAAAGCAGTCTTCCTCCGCGCCCCCTCCCACACCTTTCCATATTATGCTCTTTGGAAGGAAGTCACTATGTGTGGCCCACACTTAAGGAATAGAGAGTTATGCCTCCCCTCCCTGAAAGTGGAGTAGAACCCATGTTCTTCTGACCACCATGTCATTTCTCACATCTTACAGTGTTCTATCTATAGATCAAACTTCTACTCTTCAGTTACCACCC